CCCCCCCCCCCCCCCCCACCCCCAGCGGGATTGGTAAGGCCCACACAAGTCGCATCTGAAACCCTCTGCCACACAGGACGCTAGAGTTACGGTGGAGCAAAATCCCCCACAACAATTGTGCGTTATCAGATGGATGCTGAATGTACTCTACGTGGAATAAAAAATATGAAAGATGGATTGCGAGATGGATGGATGTGGAATGTATCAAATGTCACCAGACGAGAAGAACGTACTTCTTGACCTCTTTATGTCAGCAAAAGTGTTTGGCTAAGAATTGTTTAAGGGAAGGCAGCTTTACAGCAGCACCCGACAGACCCGTATGACTGGGCTACTTAAAGCAATGGGGTAACTGGGAAGTGATGCTTACCTGAGGGGTCACCTTGATGGTGGCAATGTCCAATTTCTTGTCGATGTCCTTGATGTTGGCCTCGTGCACCTCGCCATCCTGGGTCTGCACGCGGAGCTGCTGCTGGCCGGACACGGGCGCCGCGCTGGTCACCACGTGGGCGTTGGTGACGATGAGGCCAGTATCTGACATGATGAAGCCCGACCCGCTGGACAGAGGCACGCTGCGATCGAAAAGAGGGTGTCTGGGAGAAAAGCAGCGATTAGCGGGATGTTAAACCTGTGAGATGTTTCAAGCATGATAGGGGCTTTTTACCTAAAGAGTTACGACAACAGCTAATGCTAAATCGTCTTACAGGTCTTGCGTACCTGTATCCCAGAACCAAAAATACCTCGAGACAAACCTGAGGAAGAGCTCGATGTGGACCACAGCAGGGGCGATCTTTTCCACAACGTCCGCAATGAAGTTAAACTTATACCTCGGACTATCGGGCTCTGAGGAACCTAAACTAACAGAAAGAATGAGTCATGTTAACAAGTAACAATCTTACCCTTCCTCCACCTTCACATTCTGACCTTTGGCTTCGGAGGAATAATGTCAGTGGTGAAGGATTTGTAAGCGTTTTGGATACAGTGCGTCATGTCAATTAAAATACAAAAAATCGTCACGTAAAAGGCTTAGTAACTTGATGTTGGTTTCACTCCTCATAATTGCATAATAGCTTCTAAACCTCCAAGTTCTTTTTCAGAGTCTAAAAACAGTGTACTATTTCAGCAACTTGGAAATTATCCTTAAGTCATTTGTCTAAAAATAATTAGAATGGTTCAAAATTGCTCCCTTTGCTTGCTTAGGTCATGGAGGACTTGTGCTCTAACCTGTGATTAGGATATTCCTGGCATTTAATTCCAGCAGGGTTAGCTTTGGAGCCTTCCATTTGTGACCAGGGCTTCCTCTGACTCTGGTGAGATTTACACTGTAATTAAACAGCCCGAAGGTTGACGTTTGGGCTTTGGCAGCAGCTCAGTATCTACAGGTCAGACCTTTTAACTGTCATAATTCAAACCGTGAAGCAGCAAGCGCAGAGTCATCCACCACATCGCCTCAGTGACTGCATGTACTGCTCAGTGTGCAGATTTAACCCAAGTAGTTTACATAGTTTACATTTTTTCTACATGTGTTTAGTTCATTATTTTACTGTAATATTTGAGTTAACAAGGTCAATGTGCAATAACTGGATTTCATCTTAGGTCCTGCAAAATAATTTAACAGGCAGAGAAGAGTCTTCGGGGGATAGGCATTAACATTTCAGGAAACGTACAGCACATTTACGGGGAAGAGGTCCGGCCGCTATTGTGGCGCCATGAGTAGATCTCCATCTCAGCTATCCTTAAATGGATAAGCACCCTTACATTGGTAACCCTGCTCATGAAACAGGAGACCATAAGCTGCCTTTGTCTTCAGTGTTAGAGATACAGACACATAAGCTTCTGATTTTTCTCTACTTCTAAGGGTGTTAGAAGATATATGAACAATATTTACGCATTTGGTGTTTATTCAAGTCATATTGTTATCTATGTCCTGCCCCTTCTCCACCTTAGCTACTGTGTGGTGAGCGTATTGGTGGAAAATGGCTGCTGTCACATCATCCAGGATCTACACAGTGGTGGCGGATGAAGCAGCTCCTGATTGAATCGGTAAAACGCTTTGGGTGTCTTGAAAAGTGCTTTATGAATGCAGCTGTCATTCATTCATTTGTCCCTGTGTGGGAAACATAATTACAATATCAGTCGTTAGCAATGTAGTGTCATAACTTCAAGGTTGAGGGTTGGAGTCCTGTCCTTGGTTCTGGTTGCCGTTTCTGCATGTGCTCCTTGTGTATGTGCAGGCTAGGTGGCAGGTAGGTGTCACGGTGTCTGCAATGGGCTTGCATCCCATCCCTGGGTGCCTCCTGACTAGTGCCCACTTCTTCCATAACCAGTTACCCAGCATAAAAGGATGGATGTCAATTAGGTACTAGCAGTTGGACAATGAAGAGAAGGTAAAGTGACGTTTTGGTCGCTTTAAGTCGACCTGAACAGATCCAACGACCTCATTTGAATGGGTGTGGGGAGACATAAGACTGGGAACAGACAATACCGCTCTGTCAGTGCAGGATGCGACAAACCGCTGCTCTCCCAGCAGACCAGCACAGAAAGGTCCCCTATGTCATTTTGTCCTACTTAATACTGTTGATTTTGCCCTTAGACTAATATATCCACTGAGGAATTATAACTGCGATTATTATGGGTCAGTCACTTTATTTTTGTACCTATTTTTTGATTTAAGGACTTGACCTTTAGTGTTTCCACTAAACCTTATGCAAGGACTTGAAAGTTAATGTGGAAAAAATGTTTCAGGCTACATTTATATATTATGCCCTTGAGATTAAATCTCGACATTTTTAAATTTAATGCTAAGTACCGAGGAGCTTAAAATGCCTTTATTGGACATCTACTGCAGTCTCGAAGTCAGTGAGGTCAACAAATAGGTACAAAATAAGGCTATCCGAGATGACAGGACCATTCTGAGAATCCAAGCTCATCTAAAATGAAGAACATCTATGGTCCAAAGCTGACTGTGCCCCTGCTTTGGAGAGGCAATGAGGACCAGAGGGATCTGATTACTCCTCTCATTTTGTCTGTCTGGCTCTTAATTGTCCAGAATTGATAAAAGGGCAGATGTCAGACAAGGCTGGACTTTAATTTCAGTCATTCGTGTCCCTCAGCCTTTTTCCTGGTTAAATGAGTCCCAAGGAGCCTTAAAAGCCCCAAAACCACATCCGACTTGCCCTCTTGCCCTGGTGTTTCCGCTTCCTGTGAGGCCTCGGGGGAAGTCCTGTCTGTATCCTGCTGCCCCTCAGACTGGGGATCCCCCCCTTCACCCTCTCTCATCATCTGTTATATCTCTAGATTGACTGGAGGGGCGTATTCTCTATTCATCACCCTGGTTTATCAAAGCCATGGGGGGGGGCAACAATAAACATGACATTGGCGGGGGGGGGGGGGGGGCATTAGGAAATCCATGGCAGAGTGACTGTGGATGATAATAAGTGGGGCCTGACTGCCCCCCCACTCCCCCAAAGCACGAATTACCATTAGACCACCAACTCTGGCACCCAGACTTTAGGTGGTTTCAGTGACAGAAAATACTGAACTTTAGACTGGATCAAACAATCGTTTCTAGATGGGGGACACTTGGTGGCAAAGGCAGGTGACAGATTCAGTGCAGTGAACACTTCTGCAATTAAATAAAAACACTATCACTGCCACTGCTTATCTGCTTTTACTCCAGTGCCCCAGAATTACACGATATAACGCTTGTTATTGAAACGCCAGTAACCTACCTGCGGCGGGCTGGCATTGTCCCTGATGAGCTTGGCTGGGGGCGGGCTGTCCCAGCTGCTGAGCCCTGCGGTTAGCGGCCTTCAGCTGGCAGACGTTGGCGTACGTCTCGCCGTCGCTGCCGCACACCGCCTGGCTCTGCTTGCACTGGCACACGCCCTTGGAGAGCCGTCTCCCGGCGGGATGCTTGCATTCCAGCCCGTCTCCGCACGGCAGGTCGTCCTTAAGGCCACAGGGCGCCCCCTCGCCCTGGGCGCACACCAGGCAGCAGTTGCAGCGGTCGGGCACGTAACCGCTGGGGCAGATGGGGCTCGGACACAGGCTGACATCGCAGCGAGCCTGGCACTTGGCCCGGGGCTCCGCACCGATCAGCCGATGGAGGTGAAACACGATCGCGACAAACAAAAACGCATGCATGGTTCGCCAAGAACTGGGATGCAATCCGCACTCAGTGCTACGGGGTTTAAAGAAAGCCTTTTAATTCCCAGTGTAGGTAAATCCTTACTCCGCTTGCATCGTCCAAATCCGCTGTTTTTACACGTTAACTTTTCAAAGTAATGGAGGAAAGCAGTACTGTATTTCACATCGCATCTCCCAAGGACAATAAGCAAAATACAACCTGCAGAGGTGATGAACAGCAGCTCGTCCGAAAGAGTAATTTTAAAAAAACACAAAGTTGTTAGTTAGAGCAAACTGATTATAAAACGCTACATTGTTTTCGATGCTTAAGAACGAAGTGAATCAGTTTGTGTGGAAGAGAAGTGCAGTTTTGTCCCGCTGTCACCCGGGGGGCTGGCGCACCGTCCGGCTCGGGGGAGGAGAGAGCCCAACAAAAGCCGTCTCTCATGCCGCCTCGGTGCCTCAATTATATACTATTAACTACGATATCCACGGCATTTATTTTTCAATTAACGAAAGTTTTAAAGCACTTTCGGAAATTTGTCAAAACTTGGAACCAAAGATGCTTCTGCTTCTATCTGCCTCACTCGTGCGTCACTTTGGGTAAAATCGCCTGCTAAATAAATCAATGTAAATTAAGCTTTAGTGTGGGCTAACAAAGATTTTGAAAATATTAAACGGCTTTATTTGTTAAAAAATAATGTTTTCCAATACAAAGTGCATTTCTCTAAACGGGATAACACCTTTTTCGTAGAGACGACGCAACGTGTAAATTTGGCTGCTCGCCTTAGATGTTTCTTTCTGAGTGAATGGAAGGAAATTTCCACAACGCGCTAGCATATTTTGTAGCACAGCCTAGTGTTCATTTTCAGTTTGTCGTCTGCAAATAATAATAATAATGATGTGGATAGGCTTCTTTCGGTAAGTCTACGTATATAAATTATATTCCCATATGTGGGGATCACATTACTATCCGTCTGGGTTGAACTGTTGCACGGCACTATACTGTAAATAAAGGATTCTTCGATGTAAACTGGATGGAGAGAATAGTCTTCTTCCTAGAAGAGGCAGAAGAAACATATCCTTCCTGTTCCAGTTCCTATACATACTGAATCTCAGTAAAAGCCCATGGGTTTAGCGTACCGTCACTGGGTCTCCACTACTGTACGTACGCTTCGTTTCGTAGCAGACTTTCTTATACAAAGCCACTAAGTATAGATTACTGTTTTACTTTACTTATTTTTAGACCTGGAAACATTTAAAGACACCTTATATTAAGTTCCCGATATTCTGCCTTGTTTTAAGCTAAATATCAGAGACGAAGACATGAATTACACAGCCGCATGCGTCTATATAGACAGCAATTATTCCACAATTGCAAAAACACAAAAAAGAAACCGTAAACCTGACTGCTGATAGATAAATTGTTTGTAATTACATACTCCTGCTGCAGTTCATATATGTGATGTCAGATCAAACAAAATAGTATGAAATAATGATAGGATTTCACATTGCTGGATTTTTCAGCGTATTATGATGACCCACAGATAAAGAGTCACATTGTTACGCCACAATAGGACCAATGCAGCGTGCTGACTGTGGCGCCATTGCCGCCGCTAGGTGGCGCCGGTCTTGTACCGCGACGTGCTGCAGAAGTGCTGCTCGGGCGACAGGTTGATCCGCCGCACGTTAAGTTCGGTGGCGAAGCCTCGCGCCCTCTGGTAGAAGAAGAGCGAGAGCTCGCGGTCCACCAGGAAGTTGTGGTAGATGGTGGCCAGGCGTGTGCAAAGCTTCAGCTGGGCTCTTTTGTTCCCCAAGTCCATGGCAGCAGCCAGGGCCAGGTGGTAATACCCAGCTGCATCGTAGGGGTCCTGAGGCACCCAGATAAGAGCACCAAGTGAGTAAGTCAGTATCTAATCTCATTATCTTTGTCATTCACTGACCTCCTGCTAGAAATTTCACAAAAGGGTACAACTGAAGTACTCGTCCCAACATCCTTTGGGTTTGAAATCTAATTCCTATATTACCACTCCACCTACTTCCCTGGTAAATACCACTCTGATGCAGGATAACACTGGGAATAGTCATATCTGTTTGTAAAATACAGTACAGATGTAGCGCTTAAAGCTAGAGAGGGATAACACTGGGAATAGTCATATCTGTTTGTAAAATACAGTACAGAAGTAGAGCTTAAAGCAAGAGAGGGATAACACTGGGAATAGTCATATCTGTTTGTAAAATACAGTACAGAAGTAAAGCTTAAAGCTAGAGAGGGGTAACACTGGGAATAGTCATGTTTGTTTGTATAATACAGTACAGATGCAGAGCTTAAAGCTAGAGAGGGATAACACTGGGAATAGTCATATCTGTTTGTAAAATACAGTACAGATGTAGAGCTTAAAGCAAGAGAGGGGTAACACTGGGAATAGTCATATCTGTTTGTAAAATACAGTACAGATGTAGAGCTTAAAGCAGGAGAGGGGTAACACTGGGAATAGTTATGTCTGTTTGTAAAATACAGTACAGTTTAGGTGTTTAGATAATTTACCCCCAAGATGTTGAGCCCCATGAAAATAAACGATAGTGGGCCCCCAACCCAGATCAATCCAACTATGTTCCTCACTTTAATGCCAAAAATGTCATTTATAAATTTACAGCTGAATGAAATTAGTGATCATTAGTACAGTATTATACCACACTCGGTTTACCTTGAGGTCATAGAAGATGATGTCCCCAAGCGTGAGGTAAACCCTGACGTAGTACAGGGTCTCCTCCTCGAACTGCAGGGGTGACGGGCAGAGTGACAGGGCTTTCAGGTAGTAGTGTTCGGCTAGTTCCAACTGGCCCAGTTGATGATACAGTGTACCGAGTCTATGGAAAGCCACGCGTTCATTCAGATGCTCTCCTAGGTAACAGACAGAACAGAGAGGGTCTCTCAACTTACTGGACAATCAGATATATATATTTTAGTGTTGTCAAACGATTAAAAATTTTAATCAGATTAATCACAGGGTTGCTGTGGATTAATTTCGATTAATCATGATTAAATATCATTCATTTTTAATCTGTATTAATCGCATTTCATTTTGCATGAGCAAACAGACTCAAGAAAAAGGGGAATATATATGCACTTAACATGTTTATCTTGAACACGAGTCGGATGCATTCCATCTGCCACAGAAGTTCAATACCATGCACCCATATCAAAAAGCAAGATTTTTTGCTTAGCCGGACAACTGGTCGGATTTAAGGTACCTCAGTTTAAATGGTCTTTATCTTCGTTCACATACAATTAGCCCGAACTACCGTAAATCCGACAAATAATCCGACTTATCATGAAATCCAATTCTAGCCCGGTTAATTGCCATTGTTACCAATATCAGTTGATAACACATTACGCGCGGTGCTTTACATATAAAACTCCGTAGCAACACGTCCACAGATAAGTTGGATGGTATAATGTGTGCGACCGATTTAATGAGCCACAAATGAGAAGTAGTGCTTAAACAATAAAAAACTACAACTTTCCCTTCTGTTGATAAAAGGCGCAGCCATCTTGGATTTTGAACTCGGGATCCTCTGTGCTGCTCCGAGTTATTTCTCGGATCTCCGAGAAACAGGAGCACGCATGTCGTCACTTCCGGCTTCAAAACTCAGAATCCGACTTGGAACACATGTTCCGAGGGCAAATGGAACACACCAAAACTGCCCGAAATGGGTTGACAGAGACATTTCAGGGATTTGGAGTCATTCTGCGCTGCAGATGGGTTAATTGCGTTAAAAATTTTTAATCAGATTAATCATGATGATGGATTAATCTGCGTTAACCCCTTTAATTTTGACAGCCCTAATATATTTGAAAAATCATATTCAAATCTAGGTATAATTAGGATTCTGGATTTTGCTGCTAATATACAGTAACCTGGAGAAAGGTGCCCTCTGGTGAAAACAGAAGGCTATAACTGTATTTTTCTGAAATGCTCACAGAAAATGTGGTCTTTGCTGCTGGATTAATACTAAACATGTATTATTTTGTTTTGAAAAAAGAAAATGCTAAAATCCTCATAAATCATTAATCACTCTGTGTATATATCTGTGTTTGAGTCCGGTCACATGATGCTGTTTGGCCAATCAGAGGATGACGTGGGTACCTAAGGTGATGCTAAGGTCCAGTGAGGCCTGGGCAAACTCCACTGCATCCCTGTGCAGCTGCATGTGCATCAGCAGTTCTGTCAGCTTGTTGCAGAGGCGCAGCTGGGATGGAGTGTCGCCCGTCCGGATCGCAATGGGCAGGGCCCGGTCCTGAAGGGCACAGACCCCCAGATCATCTCAGAGTCCCCCCCCCTCCAGCCTGGGCTAACAATCCATATGCATAGTATGTACATTCGTCAAAATACAAAGTGGTCCAAACTCATTTAGTGTGATAATGTTTCAGTGGAAACAAGACTGGTGCAGTGCAGAATGGATGGAATACACTTATCATCCAGGCTATTTCGGAACAATGTGGATGGAATATATTGTGGTCACCTAGAGTGACTGGAATCTTCTGTGGCTGTCCTGTTTGCATAGCTGGAACATTCTTCAGTCACCAGCATGTCTGCTGCATGACCGAACGGATATTTCCAGAGCGGTCGCTCCCGCGTTATCTACAGAATACCTAAACCAAACGTTCCCGGAAATGCAACCAGGAAAACACGTGTGACGTGATGCATGGATGCCGGGGAGTTCACCCAATAGCATGGTGCCCTCGCTCCACCGCCTACCCTGTAGAAAGACAGAGCCTTGTCTCTGTCCCGTGAGCTGTTGAAGAACAAGTCCCCCGCAACCTCCAGCAGCCCCAGAAGGAAGGCTGTGTTCCCTGTGCTTAGACCGGAGTCCTGGGCTACCTGGATGCAGAAGAGAATGGACCTTCTTTCAGGACTGCCTACGACTGACCAGCACAAACACCTCAACTGGAAACTGCTTTGGCTTTGTTGACAAGACTGGCCTGTAGGTAGAGGTCCACCAATTCGTCTTGCCCCAGGATGTGGTAGATCTTTCCTGCCTTCAGCCAGGCAAAAGCCTCCTTCTCCTTCCTGTGCAGGTCGATAAAGAGGCCCAGGCTGCATTTGGTGTGCTCCAGGGCGGCTCGGTAGGCCCTGACAGGAGAGAAGGGAGAACGAGTTAGAGCCAAGCCAGGACAAGGCCGGGTGCTGCTCTCGAAGGGCTCAGGGAGGAACCACACTGAGGTGCACGCAGGTTCTACTGTACCATGACATAGTCAAGGGCACAGCTGTCATCTTGGCAAACTGCTGCCTTGTAAGGGATAAATCACACCCCCCCTGTGCGCCCCACACGGCTCGAGAACAGTTTCACTGCTAAACGGCCTGGGATCTGTTACCTGTCTGTGCCCAAGCCCATGTAAAGCTCGCTGATGGTTTCCAGGATGTCACCCTCGTGGCTCCGGTGGCCCATGCGACGCAGCAGGACCAGCTGGCGCTCATTGTAGATGATGCTCTGGGCGGCATCAGGGCACAGCGTGTGGTAGAAGTGGCACAGGCAGCGGCACGCCTGGAGCTGGCCTGCGAAGCGAGTGCCAAATGGGCCGTTAAACTCACACACATGGCGCTCTGCCACTTCATACGTCCAGGTAACACATTTAATTAGCAAACAGTAAGTACTGGCTCAGCAGCAACTGAATACTATTAAAAACCTAGAAAATTAAACTTTTTGGCCATCACTATGAATACTGGCCCTGAAGGTTTCTTGCCTGAATTGTGAGAATGGTTACAGTTGGCAGTTCGAAACAAGAAACCATTCATTTAGTTTGACTGACATGTTTTCTATTGTTTAGGTTGGCCTTATAACCAGTGGCGGTTATAATGGGCAACTGGCCAGGGTGGCATCGTCTGAGGGGGCGCCGACGTAGCAAATTGCGGGTGCCAAACTGCCGCCCCCCCCAACCAATAACTTTAACTGGGTGAAATCGGTAGGGGGGTTGTGGTTTTGCCAGGGAGCCAAGAATGCCAGACCCACGGTTTATAGCAGAAACTCACATATAGTAAGATGTATACAGACATTTCTATCCCTGGATTACAGGCCATTTTATTGCTGACACTGGCAGAAGTGATTGGTTCAGCAGAACGGCCATGTTTGATGCCTTAAAGGTAGCCTGACATGAAGCAGAGGCTTATGGGTAAAAGCAGAGCATGCCGCCGCTTGTGAGAAACAGTGCATCCCTGATGAATACAATGGCAAGATGGAACACGGTGCCGACAGGAGGAACAGGCAAACAGCACAGTCGAGACAATCCTGACATGATGCTTCCACAGCTCTGATCATTTTACCTGACTTTAGCTAAAAATACTGTTTCTATTCTATGCCCCTGTTCCTCTATATCGAATCCCCCACAATGCCTTAGTGCTCCTCAGGATGTGGACACATGAAGGCATGAGAACAGGACGTACAGTGCAGGTTGCCAGAGTTGATGGCAGTAAGAAGTGCCCACTCGTAGTACAGCTTCCCTTTCTCCAGTTCCAGCTGCCCCCGGCTCACGTAAAAGCGGCCGAGCTCCAGGAGCACGCAGAAGAAGTCCTCTTCGTGGCCTTCATCCTTCAACTGAGAGAACGTCTCCACTGCATGAAGCAGGCTGGCCTCGCCCAGAGTCTCCGCCCCCACGTGCCAGTACAGGAGCCCGCGATTGGCCAGTGCCACGGCCAAGTTCCGCAGGGAGCCAATCTCCTCGCAGGCGTCCAACGCGGAGCGGTAGCTGGCGGCGGCCCGCTTGGCGTCACCCGTGTGACGGAGCGCTATGGCGCGCATGTTCTGGACGACGCCCTGAATCTGCTGGATGTCCAGGAGACCTTCCAGCACATGCAGGGCGTGCAGCGGCTGCCGGTTGCGGATGTGCAGCCACGCCAGAAACAGAAGCGCATCCGTGGCATCCACAGGGGTTTTGCTCAGTCCGCTGTCTAACAGGGTGCCCATGCAGCGGAGGGCATCGTCCAGGAGACGCTGCCCCTGCAGCAGGTAGGACAGGCACATGGAAGCAGCCTGGCGAAGGGATCGCTCCGCCGTGTTTTCCGTGAGCGCCAGCGCCCTCCGCAGGTAGGGTGCCGCCTGTGGAGGGATGCGCTCACCCTGCTTCTCCAGAACAAAGCTGATGGCACTCAGGTGGGTCTCCAGAGAGGCAGACGGGTGGAGCGAGGCCCGTCTCAAGGAACTGGTAGCCAGGTGCGGGAGGCCGCTTTCAGAGTACAGCCTGCCCAACGCCAGGTAACCATGGCTGGGTGGAAGCTGACCAGCCCCTGGCAGTTCCTCCATCAGGACCTGGAGCCTCTCGACAAAGGGCACGGCGCTCCAGCTCTCCCCAAGCGTGCAGTGAAGCTTAGCCAGGAGGAAGCAGACCCTGGCCTCGGCGGCCTTGCTCCCTGCCAGCACGGCCTTCTTCAGGGCGTAGCGCAGAACCTCCGGCTCCCTCCCGGTACTGCAGACGTGCCCGCCGACTCCCATCCGCAGGGCGGCCACTCGCTCCGAAGAGTCGACATACTTCTCTGTGTTCTTCTGCGTGAGGTAGACGACAGCCAGGTTGGCGTGGATGGCGGTCAACAGGTGCCAGTCCGCAAAGTCTTCCCTGGTGATGCCCAACGCCTCCTCGAAATAGACACGGGCCTGGGAGAGTTTGACCCTACGGGCACAGAGCTTGCCCAGGAGGAAGCAAAGCCGGCTCTGGGCCCAGAAGAGCCTCCTCTTGCGGGCCGTTTCTCTGGCCGCGCCTAGATAGGCCACCAGCTCTTCCTCGTCTGAATGGCCCCGGAATAATGAGCAGACAAACTTCAGGGAGAAGTGGTAGAGGCCAGCAAACTGTGGTTGATATTCTCTGACGTTCAGGAAGGCGAGCAGTGGCTGGACACCTTCGGGGTCATGCCCGTCCTCGGTGACAGACACGGTGAAGCACACTGAGCCACCTTCTCCTCCTGCTTCCTGGTCTCCCTCATCATTACCCTCCAGAGAAGTCTCTACCTCCTCGGCCGGTGCAGTATCAGCTTCTAGTGTGCTCAGTTCTTTCAGAATCCTGTCTACTTTGGTTCTGAGTTCCTCACGTTCTAAAACGATGTCTTCTTTAGAGGATGGATCTGAAGATAGAAACATTGAACTATGAAACAAGAACTATGGAACTAAGGACTACATAAAGCACATCAGAATCTTCAAAACATTTAAGCATCATCCATCCAGCTTATCCTGTATTTCCCAATCTGGTCCTTGTTTGTAAAAGTGTTATACAAAAAAACTTACTTCGAGGACTTCCTTTCAGAAAATCAGATACTTCAATCAGATCTGGAATACACAACGCAGTAACAGGAAGTGAGGACGATAGCAGGCACTCAGTGCTTGATGTGGGAGCAGCTGAAGTGCTGTGGGTCGCCTCGGCTCACCCAGCCTGTAGATGGCGCCGATGTCATTCCGGCAGGACTCCCTCAGCTGCGTTAAAGCTTCGGCTTTCACGCGCTCCAGCGTCACGCCATTCAGCAGCCCGTCCTCGTCTTCCAAAAATATTTCCGGAGATCTACCAACATAAGACTTTCATAAATGACTTTCAACGGGATCTAAAGTATGTGAGACCGTGCCCTTGACTACAGGCAGCCACCGAAAGTCCAGCTTACAGGCGACTCAGACTGTCAGAGAACCGATTATATTGTCATCACAGCGATAAACAAGGAACACAGACAAGTGCAGGAAAAGGTACAAAAATGGCATTTACTGACATAGTCACTCTCACTACTCACACACACACACACTTGCCCACCATGCTGACCATTCTGACTACTTATACTCCACACAGTGTGCGCACACACACTACTACAGCACTACACATGACTTGAACATACAGCACAGAAACAATACTGCATGATAAATACACTGAGTTATTTACACTATTAACACTGCTGGCACTGATCCAGCATGTTGCCGCCCCCCGATGGACAGTCCCAGTGCTACACTATTAAAAATTTGAGTTAAGTAGAATGATTCATAATATTGAACACACGCACTACTTTGTGCCACTCGTGAAAATATTGCACTGCTTCCTCGGTTCATCGGTTCAAGGTACAGTACAGTACAGTACATTAAATACATACTAGACAAACATTTGACTGACACTAAATAAGAACCAAATCTATCTGTTCCAACTTAGCTACAAATTTGACTGAAAGACAGACTTAGGAACAGATCTCGTTCGCCTGTTCTATATAGCAGTGTTTCCCAATCCAGTCCTCAGGAACCCACAGCCGATCCACGTTTTTGCTCCCTCCGAACTACTTGCCAGTCAGTCCACATTTTTGCTCCCTCCCAGCTCCAGGGAAAACGTGGACAGTCTGTGGGTCCCCGAGGACCGGATTGGGAAACACTGCTACAGTATATAGCATTCATCAAGAACACCGCCCAGCAGAGCCACAGAGGGCAACACTCACTCACGGAGGGAGCTGGCGGGCTTGACAAAGCTGGATCTCACAAGCCCGAGGCTTCCTGTCCCCTCATGTCTCCCCAGGAACCACTGGAGGCAGGACACCAGCAGACCAACCACATGGATTACATCTCCACGCTCAAAGCTCAGCTCATCTGGGCTGCTGGCATCCGATTGCCGCGTGGCCACGCAGGAGCCTGTGGCTGTGGAGCAGAGACAGGAGACAGGTAATCAGCTTTGAGGCAAGACTGGTACAGCCTTGTTAAGGGGGCCCAACAGTCCCCAGCAACTCACTCTAAATCCCCATTTCCCACTGCTGAACTGACATAACCCCGTGACATTTCCAGCCTGGTCGAAACATTAGATCTTACCGCAGAACAAGAATAAATTGTGACACAAACCGAACTGGATCTAAGGATTTTGCCCCACAGTGATCTCTGCTCACCAAACTGACAGGGGAAGTCACAGGTCAATTTTCCACGGCCGACCAGGATGTGTTCACAGCACGATTTCAGGAACCATCTGGAAAGATTGCAGAAAAAAAAAAACGTTTCCAGCATTACATCAGTTGTCATACAAAACATTTGTTTAAAAGAGGAAGATACCTTGTATTTTTTGTACAAATACTCCAAAAACCGCAAATGATTACGGTTTCCACAGGATCCCAGTTGGTGGCTGGGAAACACTGGGACGGTATGGAAATTCCGGGGAAGACACAAGTTCAGGGGCCAAAGCCTCTAGTCAGTATTAACTGACTGTATTGAGAGCATAAAGCCAATTTGCCATGTTGTGTTAGAAAGGAGAGGACTGAGAGAAATGATGGCTTCAGATCCATCTATATTTAACTGTGACCTGCACAAAATCTCTGTAGAGCCCCTGTAAAATCACCCTGCTCTATCCTCCAGTACCTGTCTCCAGTGGATCCGTTTGCTGTCACGAAGAACCTTGTTTTCCCCGTCACTCAATAACATAAGAAAGCATCTCAGAAATGTGCTTATAAATAGCTGTATGAGGAGATAGTTATGTACTGTGATTAATTTTGGATGAAAAAACATCTGGTAAGCTAATAATAGATATGAAGTTGCTGTAGCACCATGCACATCCACTCACTGGTGAAACGGGATGATGGGTTCCACAGCTGGTCTGCACTTGGTGCCCCTGGATCCGTCTACTAGGGACTGTACAGTCCAGTCAGAGCCCATGAAAGGTGGCTCGAAGATGCCAATGTCACCCTGCTCCAGGTACAGGTCCCTGCCTGATGTGGAGCTGTCAAACATCTGGTTGGCAGTACAGCGTCCAAAAAATGACCCTGGGGAACATACGAGTTTAGGTGGGATCTTGGAGTAAGTTGATGGACAAGGTGTTAGACCAGGTATTGAGGATGTTGCACCACGATTTGGAAAGCTGTTAAGTGCATCGTCGGGCTAAGATGTAGAGCAACTTGGGGTACACAGCGTTGAGCAAGGACATGGGGTTTTGGAAATGTTTTTGGAAATGGGAGTAAAACTAACATGTCAGAAAAGGTTATGGACCAGAGGTTGAAACTTGAAGTTCAAGTATAAATCCAGACCAAGATTTTGTTTCAACCAACCTGTTGAGTACAAAGAGTCACAGTCACAGAGTACTCAGCTGGTTGGTTGAAACAAAACCTTGGTCTGGATTTGTATTTTCTTGACCTGAACTTTCCACCTCTGTTATGGACTGAGTGTTGGAGTCTATTGGACCATGATAGTTTAGTGATATAGGTCATTCATCTGTTACCTTCCTGTATAAGAATCCCTTTGTACAAAAGATTTAGCATTTCTTCTTGGACTACAGCCTCTATTCCAGCATTTTCCTGCTCCAAGGAGCTCAGCCAGAAATCTTGGTCAAGAAGTAGGTTTTCCATACAGTGGCCAAGGAAGCCTGATGGGTATGAAGAGATGTCAGGGTTGATGTGACCACAAGGGCAGACAAATCTTACAGCGACTGCATTCTGCTCACCAGAAGCTGCCAACCTACCCATCGTGTAATGTGTGTGGAATCTCCATAGCTCTTCAAAGGATTTGAAGGTTATAAATATGGTGTCCTCTTCACTGTTGATGGACAACAACTGGGCAGAAAGTTCCTGAAACATGAGGCAAAGTAAAAGTTATGTGACAACTTAATTCACAGGATTACATAACTGTATCCAACAGGGAAATGTACTTCTGCTATAGTCTGAGAAAGTACACTTTGAAAAGTTAGAATGCAGGAAAATTAGCTGTTTTATTATTATTATTATTATTAGTAGTAGTAGTAGTAGTAGTAGTATGTATGTATGTATGTATGTTTGTATTTTTGTACGTACAGAGTTTCAGACCTTCAACACCACTAATTTTAAGTACAGAAAGCTTAAAAACTAGGGATTTCAATTAACAAAGGTGAAATAAGTAAGCTAGTACAGTGGTACCTTGGTTCTCGAACTTAATCTGTCCGGGCTCTGGATCGAATCCTAAAAAGTTCGAGTTCTGATCGAATTTTTCCCATAAGAAATAATGGAAAACCAATTAACTGGTTCCCGGCCCCCCAAAATTACACCTAAATGTGTTTTTTTATTATTATTATTATTATTATTTTTAGCATTTAAACACAAAATGAACAGGATAAAACAAGAAGAGCATTTTATTCTTAATGGCTTCCAAAACGATAAAGATCTTATCCTTACCCCTGTCCTGCCCCGTCCGCTCCCTCCGTGTGCCACGCCCCCTCATTAACCCCGTGTGGAATCCCCGTGTGATCAGCTGTTTCTGGTTGTTGTCATTAGTCCTCTGTATTAAGTCTGCGTTTCAGTTTGTTTCCCCAGTCCGGTCATTGGGTGCGTTCGACTTGCTTACAGCGCTGGGTTAAAGCAACGCATTCTGATCCTGACGCAATGCATTACGGTTAGATGCTTTGCGACCTCTCACCCGGCTGCACAAACTGGAACCGCCTCCGTGACGACACACCTTTGCCCTTATTGGCTGAAGAGTTTAGTTACACGCATGACGTTTGTATCCCAGGCAGTTCCGATTCGTAATCTGCTATTTCTCCCGAATATCACGTAAAGCAGTGAGAACTGGTTTTCAGTTAATTTACCTGGTAAAATAAAGTTTAAATAAATGACATAAATGCTCTAATAGTACACGCAAGTTAGTGGTTTATTTATTGTTAGTTACTGTAATGTTGCCCTGCTTTATTTGGTTAATTGTCCAGTCTGTGAAGAAGGCATTCAAGTAAGAATTGCATTGTAGTATGACTTATTTCCTGGCACATACAATTTATATTAGGTCAGCGTTCACGGTTCGACTTCTGATATTCAGATCGAGTTCTAGGTCAAACTGGTTTGTTCGACTTTCAAGAAATTCGAGTTGTAGTGAGTCCGAGAACCGAGGTATTTTCTCTAGCACAAACACACCTACTAAACCTGATAATTGGCTGATTAAGATGTGTTTGGAGTAGGGAAATCTGCAAACTGTGTGTTGGATTCTAACCCTCCAGGACCGGAATTGGGGAACCCTGTGCTAAAGTGAGCGAGGCAGTAAGCCTGACCCAGACACGGCCTGAACCACTCCATAGGTGCTGTGGGGGAGCCTCACCGAGAAGAGGGTTCTGATCCCTCCACTGTCGGCCTCCAGGTCACACAGTTTTGCCCGGAGCACTTCCTGCAGTTCCTCATCAGGCTGCCTGTCGAACCCTCGTACTGCAGACAGCCGTATGGAGAGTGCTGTGGATAAATGATCAGTCAGCTCAGTTTGTGAGTGCTCCCCAGTCACTATTACATCATTGCTCAGCTGGTACTCATTCACTGCACACTTGCGACTGATAGCTACCGAATTTCTGCTCAGCCACTACTCAGTCACTACTCAGTCATCACTAATCAGTCAATGATCAGTCACTGCAAAGTTATTTCTCAGCTGAAGCTCATTTTCTGTTTAGTCACTGCTCAGAAACTACTGAGTACCTGGTCACTACTGACTAGTTGCTAATGGGTTTCTTTTCACTGCAAGTTGGTACTCAGCAGTTTTTCGACCACTGTTTTGTTGTCACTCCTTTATTTGCCACAGAGTAACTACTCATTTAGTGCTACTCCATTGTTGTACAGTCATTGCACTGTTGCATCCATTCCATCTACACATTTCAGTTGCTGTTTATCCATCTCTTCACTAATGAAGGTAAACTGTCATAAGGTCTTACACTTTAAACCATCATTTTGGATCAGCTGCCAGTTGTAATCTGTAGCCATGCTAAGAGTTTCCAAGCAGTGACTGGGATAAAGTCACAGTCTGAGTTCATTGCTAACAGTATGAGCAACGGGAGGTGAACATTGGTCAGCTTTCCTTCCAAAGCAGAGGTACATCATTACTTATCTATTACCGGAAGGGTAAGAAATTTCTGGGATGACCAAGGATCCTTTGGAAGCAGCGGCTCCTCTTTGTGAATCATAATCTGCAGCGGAAAGATGTGCACAACACTGTGTAATCCAGCCTGCTGCCCATCTCTGTGGTTAGACAGTTACGAAACGCCAGCTTGATAAGATGAGTATTGGACATGTTTTGTATCAGTAAATTCATCACACGAACATTAGATGAGGGGAAATATATTCTTTCAGACTAATAACATCAGCCCCAGTCGAACACACCCTTGTGCAAATTAATATAAAGAAGTTGTTGAGTCTATATGCACACAGACTGACCACAGTTAAGACGGACATCATAGTCACATTAATTCATACTTATCGCCTTAGGTCCGGATTTAGGACATGGTGGATTGATAAAAATTGTATGGGAATAAACCAGGATGGGGCGCCAATTTGGCAACTCCGATTAACCTCAGCATGTTTTTGGACTGTGAGGGGAAACCAGGGAACCCAGAAGAAACCCCACGAAAATTTTCCATGACAGGAGGATATAGCCAAAAATATCTGAGGTGAATATTTTGGATGTTATCCTTCCACTTATGGTGGAGCAGACTTGAATGTTCTGCCATCATCTGCACACACCCTCAGAAACACACACTCCGATCCTCTCACATACTTGGCTTTTACTGAACTCTGTCCTCATTAGGAATTATGCGCATTTATTCTCTCTATATTCAATTTCGCTTGATTGACATAAATAAATAAAGGTGTGCCTGTGTTTTTGCTCTTATGCAAGAAGTCACGTTTGCTGTATATTTCACTTAACAAAAAAAGTTCTAATCCCTGTCACGAAATTTATATTGTCAGATCTCACCTCTTTCCCTATAGTCGCTTCCGTTACCATTGATCAACGAAACCTCGTCCCGTTCTTCAGTCTGTGGGTCTTTCGTATTTCGAAGATCTTGAAAATCGGCCTGAAGTCCATTTCCAACCTGGACCGAATCGCGGATCTTGCTGCTAGTCATCTTCACGAAGTTTAACTTTTGTTCTTCTGGGTGTGGTAAAGCAGCTTTGATGCATCACGCGCTATCTACATCATCCATGTACAGTATATCGTAAAAAAATATTATAGCAAGAAAAAAAAAAGCTGCCAATCTAGGAATACCTGAAAAGAAATTTGCTTTTTACATTGCTTTTCACCCGGCTCCTAACGTAGTGGAAGCGTAGGCAAACTCAAAAGCGAATATGCACATTGATCGAGGCAGCTTTGACGCTACAGTTTAGTAAGAAAGCGAAACGAAACTTTCCCGTCACCGCCGGTGTCCGTCCCGGAGCTGTCCGGCAGGTTGCTGTCGCGGCGCCCCGTGGATTATGCCCTTCCAGTTCACGTGGGCTTGGAACCATTTGCTGGCTCCGTAAGCGTCTTTAAAAAGTTAATAATCTCTCGGTCACCAAATAAAGTTTTACTTGCAGCTGGTCGCCAAGCACGTCACGGAGATGCTGTTTTCTGAGCAAAGTTTATACTTTTTCATGTTCAGTTGATTTCACAGGTCCCGCCCACAGTCAAAGGTTTTGGAGGATAACACGAATCCCGAGAAATGTGTCAACCAACGAGAGGTTTTAAAAGTCATTAGACACATTATTTACAATTATTTACAAAATTAAAAACGTATTTTTTGGCCCAATTTATTACTTTAGAAAAATAAATTAATTGATTTGATGATTATTCACAGCAATTGTAAAATTAAGCTACCGATTCAGGTAAATTTGGTTATTCAAAATATTTGATGATACAATTCATGCAAAGATGTGTTTGTTTAGACATTGCATGAAATAAAAAAAAATGCATTTGATTTGTTCTGGCTGTCTGAGTGAAATGCGTAATTAATCCGTTTTTTTCCTCCTAGCTCAACATAAGAGTGGTGATAGCGGTCGGCTTACATATCAGCTACATTAATGCATCAAAAAGGAATATTGCTGACCAGGGGCGTTGCTAGAGATTTTGGGCCCCATGAAAGCATATCATATTAGGCCCCCCAGTCCAAACCAATCCAGTTATTTTCCTAATTTTGTAGGGCCCCTGTCACTCAGGGGCCCTTGGAATCGTCCTAGCTTTCCTCCCCCTTACGGCGCCCCTGTTGCTGACACTTGTTATTGTGATGGACATTTTCAAGAAATTAAGAGAAAACATTTGTTTCAAAATGAAATCAGACGTCTCTTGTTGTGTCAAACAGAAAATTAATACTGCTGTTCAGATACTGTCCAAACCCATGGAATCCCAAATATTTCTTTAATGGCTATTAATGCTATCCCTTTCACAAAATTCTGTTTCACATTCATCTGAGAAAATGTGTCACAATTTCATCCGGTCAAGAAAAAAGTGCAAAGGTTCAGAACTATAGAACTACAGATGACTATTTATTCCTGTATAAGTCTACACTAGAATGAATGTGCTGTTCTCTGACAATAGTGCACAAATAGTTTGTTTTTAAAGTGAAATAGATACATTTGCAGAAGTGAATACAAATGTATTAACTTGTTTCAGTTTTCCATATTGAGAGCTGTAAGGCAGCACATTTTTAATACAGGGGCACACAGAGCACAGGGCCGGGATACACCCTACACAGACAATGACACGCCATGGGCAATTCAGAGAAACCAATTTTGGGTCAAATCTATTCATTGCACTGCCACTCACATTTTTGTATTTTATTAATTTAATTAGTAGTTTTTGTTTCATTTGTGCTTGCCAATTGTACCCTTAGCTGTAGGTAATTGTACCTGTTAAGGTACAGAAATGGACTCTGAGGAACATTTCTGTACCATTGATGGTACATGAATGCTGCTTGTACCTTTGGGATGTTCCTCAGAGTCCATGTCTGTACCTTAAAAGGTACAATTACAAGGGTACAGCCCAGTGACAAGCAAAGGTACATTTTTTACCCTTTTCTCTGAGAGTGTCGCATTAGACTGCTTATACTTTGTTCAGATTGCTGCTGTAATCCATTTATGTTTATACGCACAATAACCTATAATTGTAACCACTTACATTGCTTGAAAAGGTCATTCTCAGGTTACAGCATTGTTTCCCTGACCACTATCTGCTTTTTGTACATAAAGGATCCAGTGAATGAATGGATGAAAGGATGCATGTCTTTTAATAAAAGCCCTTAGTCAGTCCTACTTCCTAGGAAAAGTGTCAGCACTTCCCTTTCCTGTCCTGTGATCGGTGCTGTTTCAGGGAATGTGTGATAGGATTAGCAGTCCTTACATAACCCACTGCTTCATCCCATCATATTATTGGAAGTCAATATCATTAAGTCGTACTTTTGGGTGTATCACTGTCGTCAATGGCATCTGTGCACAAAGCAAACATACTATAGCTAATCCACCCTGATGCAATTAGAGCTTAACCGCCATTGTGAGTATACATAGTATTAACACTGAATCCAAAACGTACCTCGTATATTTTCGTGCTGTAATTAATATTTTAACATACAGTTATGTTAATTGTGCTTTATTTAGAACTCGCACCTAATTTATTGCTTACGGATTTTTTCAGATGTGCCACTAGAGGGCATATACCACCGAGAAAACCGCGGTGTATTTTAGTGCAAGTTCGAAACCATTGTTTGCTTATGAAAGTAGATTCTATACACAGTGTCCCCTACTCAACACCACATCTGTCCAAGCAGTAGAGTACTGCCAAGGCCGCAGACCCCTGTAGGTTTCTGGAAAGCTATTGTGTAATTTTTTGTTACCATTTCACGTCGGCAGGCTTTCAAATGGTAAAATTCAATAATTTGGTGCATAAGGTTGCATTATCACTAAAGGAAAAGGTAACGTTCAGTAATGATTTCTGAAGAAAAACGGGCACAAGATAAAGCGTTTACGGTAATTTTTATGACCTAATTACTGAATGAACAAGATTACGTCCATAGATATTTAAATAATACGCAAAAAGTGGTGGATGTAAAGATGCAAAACACTTTCACCTCTTTACAGTAACATTAACAAAATTACTTTGCAATAAGAGACACGGTGTCCACATTTTCAAAGCATAATAGAAACTTGTAACATTTTAAATGGAAGCCCGACTAATCAATTGTCGAGAAATCGAACAGGCGGCGGAAGTCGCATCATCACTGAAGGAGACGAGCTGAGGCGTGGAAGAGAGGCAGCGATGTGAGACCCAGAGGAACCGGCGAAAAAGCATAAAAAGCGCAGTCTTACGATTACAGCCCAGACACACTGAAGACAATCTAGTGTTTAGCAAGAGAAGGCACGCTAGGCCTTAAGGTAGGTATGTTACGTTTATCACATCATTGCACGATTCTTTGTTGTTTGGTTAAATAGCCTAAGCAGCCTGTTCCACGTAGCCGATGTATCTGCAGTATCTACCACTTTCATTAAGAGTCACACTATATAATTAAAGCTTGACAGATGCTATAATTTAGCTAATCAGCCGGATACTTTTACGGCTGCATAATTACATGGGTTTGTACATTTCGGGTACCTACGGAGGTTTCAATACGGTATTAAACAGAGGACATCGGTTTTACTAGTTGGCAGGTCGGAAGGTGACCTGCAAGTTCAATCTGAATTAGTACAGATGCAGACGGTGATACGACTGGAAATCTGGATAACTGTATACCTGCTTTAGATAGATACTGTCTTGCCCTTGTTGTCCAAAGAATGACAGCGAGGCATTGAACCGTTTAACGTGGGTGTTCTTGAGGCGTTTAATTCGTCTGTGTATTTGTTCTGTAGAAAGGATGGATCCAGCACTGCTCCGTGAGCGGGAGCTCTTCAAGAAGAGAGCTATCTCCACCCCGGCTGTGGAGAAGAGGCCAGCCCCTTCTGAGTCCTCTTCCGCTTCCTCTTCCAAGAAGAAGAAGCCCAAGCTGGACCGGGAGGGATCCACAGGGTCCAAGCATGGAGCAGGTCAGCCTGTGTGGGCTCTTCCCTGGTGCCAAATTATTTTTTTGCCGGTGCAGGTTCTTATATCGCACTCATAACTGTGTTGGAAAAATGCAGAGAAAGATCAACCAGCAATCACTGATTCCTGGTGGAAGTTGGCTTACTGAGATGCTAGTGCAGGCTAGTGCAGGGGTGGCCAATCTTATCCTTTGTAGGCCAGTGTGTATGCAGGTTTTTGGGGTAACCTTTAGGTCAGCTGCTCAAACACAGGTATGAGGACTCCTCAGCCAATCAGTCCTCTAATTAATAATCTAAATTAGGGAGTTGCAGTGAAAACCCAGATACACACCTAACCTCTCTGGGTAAGATTGGCCACCCTGGGCTACCAGAAGGCTCGCGGCTTCCCAAAAGACACTCAGCATTGTTTCTGCTGGTTTTGGTGTCCTTCCTACTCCTCTGATGTATCCTGCTCCTTTGTCCCTGAAACATTCCAAAGGACCCAGCTGTACATCTGGGCATGGGGTTGGGTATCATGTAGGGCTGGGTGATGTCACATTGATATTGTATCACGCATGCACAATAATCATCAGGGCTCCAGGTGACGGGTGAAACATTTGGCCAGACACCAGCTTTTCAGTACTACATGAACGTTTATTTACGCCCGCAATTTCATAAGCAGATTAGTTAACGCATCTAAAATTTTGATGAGGCATTTTATGATGGGGCCCGGCCGGGCACAGCCCGAAAGAGGCACGCGGGACTGTCCCCAGGTGGGCCCACCACCCGCAAGGGGAATGTCAGGGGTTCGGTGCATTGTGGATCGGGTGGCGGCCAAGGGAGGCCCTGGCGGTCCGATCCTCGGCTGACAAAACTGGCTTTCGGGACATGGAATGTCACCTCTCTGGTGGGGAAGGAGCCTGAGCTTGTACGTGAGGTTGAGAGGTATCGACTAGATATAGTCGGGCTCACCTCAACACATAGCTTGGGTTCTGGAACCAATCTCCTGGAGAGGGGCTGGACGCTCTTTTACTCTGGAGTTGTGGCGGGTGAGCGACGCCGGGCTGGGGTGGGGCTATTGGTGGCCCCACAGCTCGGTGCATTAACAACGGAGTTTACCCCAGTGAACGAGAGGGCTGTTTCCCTGCGCCTTCGGGTCGGGGATAGGTCTCTGACTGTCATCTGCGCTTATGCGCCGAATGTCAGTTCGGAGTACCCGGCCTTCTTGGATTCCCTTAGCGGTATGCTATTTGGCGTGCCGCGGGGGGATTCCATCGTTTTGCTGAGGGACTTCAACGCTCACGTGGGCAATGACAGTGTGACCTGGAAGGGGGTGATTGGGAGGAACGGCCTCCCTGATCTGAATCCGAGCGGTGTTCTGTTATTGGACTTCTGTGCAATGCATGGTTTGTCCATAACGAACACCATATTCGAGCATAAGGGTGTCCATAAGTGGACATGGTACGAACATGCCCGGGGCTACAGGTCGATGATCGATTTTATAATCGTATCATCTGATCTGTGGCCTTCCGTCTTGGACACTCGGGTAAAGAGAGGGGCAGAGCTGTCAACTGATCACCACCTGGTGATGAGTTGGCTCAGGTGGCGGGGGAGGAAGCCGGTCAGACCTGGTAGGCCCAAGCGTATAGTGAGGGTCTGCTGGGAACGTCTAGCAGAGGCTCCTGTTCGCTGGAGCTTTAACTCGTGCCTCCGGCAGAATTCCGACTGCATGCCGGGGGAGGTCGGGGACATTGAGTCTGAATGGACACTGTTCCGGACCTCCATTGTGGAAGCGGCCGTACGGAGCTGTGGCTGCAGGGTGGTCGGTGCCTGTCGTGGCGGTAACCCCGTACCCGATGGTGGACACCAGAGGTGAGGGGGGCCGTGAAGCTGAAGAAGGAGACTTACCAGGAATTATTAGCCCGGGGGTCTCCGGAGGCAGCTGACGGGTACCGGTGGGCCAGGCGGAACGCAGCTCGGGCGGTCACAGAAGCAAAAACGCGGGCGTGGGAGGAGTTCGGTGAGGCCATGGAAAGTGACTTTCGGTCGGCCTCAGAAAGGTTCTGGCAAACCATCCGGA